CTGTGTCTCTCTCACACACACACACACACACACACACACACACACACACACACACACACACACAGTCTCTTTCACACACTCACACACAGTCTCTTTCACACTCCCCTCCCAACACATACTTGTATTATTGTTGTTCTTGGTATTTCCTCCAATGAATATATATTCTCTGTAATTTTATTCTTTCAAAGTGTTATTTTAGTGTTTTGACTGGTCTATGCATTTCATAATTTTTATTTCTCTTCCACTTAAATGTAATTCTCTGAGTAGTCTTAAAGGTGCCACAGGACCCTCTGTTGCTTTATCTGAGTAGTGAGTTCTAAAATGCCACTGTCCTGGCTGGAGTAATTATCCCTATGGTAACTTTTTTAATATATATATTATATCTAGGTTTTTTTGTTTCTACAGGTGATGCACATAGGCAAATACCTCGGTGCATATAACAAAATTTATTCCACACATGGATGGAAAAAAATTAGAGAGAACATTGCCGACCACCTGACCAGGATGGTGATAGTGACTGTGAAATGCTCAGGGAGATTAGAGAGGCTATAAAAATAAAAAACTCAATAATAATGGGGGATTTCAACTATCCCCATATTGACTGGGTACACATCACCTCAGGACAGGATGCAGAGATAAAGTTTCTTGATAACTTAAATGACTGCTTCTTAGAGCAGCTAGTCCTGGAACCCACAAGAGGAGGGGCAATTCTTGATTTAGTCCTAAGTAGAGCACAGGATCTGGTCCAAGAGGTGAATATAGCTGGACCACTTGGTAATAGTGACCATAATATAATTAAATTTAACCTCCCTGTGGTGGGGAAAACACCACAGCAGCCCAACACTGTAGCATTTAATTTCAGAAAGGGGGACTACACAAAAATGAGGAAGGTAGTTAAACAGAAATTAAAAGGTACAGTGCTAAAAATGGTAGGTTTCAGAGTAGAAGCCGATCCCTGCAAGCTGCATGGAAACTTTTTAAAGACACCACAATAGAGGTTCAACTTAAATTTATAACCCAAATTAAAAAACATAGTAAGAGAACCAAAAAAATGCCACCGTGGTTAAACAACAAGAGACAAAAAGGCATCCTTTAAAAAGTGGAAGTTAAATATGAGTGAGGAAAATAGAAATAAGCATAAATTCTGGCAAATGAAGTGTAAAAACATAATTAGGAGGGTCAAAAAGGAATTTGAAGAAGAGCTAGACAAAGACTCAAAAAGTAATAGCAAAAAAAATGTTTTTAAGTACATCAGAAGCAGGAAGCCTGCTAAACAATCAGTGGAGCCACAGGACAATCGAGATGCTAAAGGAGCAGTCATGGATGATAAGACCCTTGCGGAGAAACTAAATGAATTATTTTCATCGGTCTTCATGGCTGAGGATGTGAGGGAGATTCCCAAACCTGAGCCACTCTTTTTAGGTGACAAATCTGAGGAACTGTCGCAGATTGAGGTGTCATTAGAGGAGGTTTGGGAACAAATTGATAAACTAAACAGTAATAAGTCACCAGGACCAAATGGTATTCACCCAAGAGTTCTGAAGGAACTCAAATGTGAAATTGCAGAACTATAGTTTGTAACCTATCACTTAAATCAACGTCTGTACCAAATGACTGAAGGATAGCTAATGTGACGGCAATTTTTAAATAGGGCTCTAGAGGTGATCCCAGCAATTATAGGCCAGTAAGCCTGACTTCAGTACCAGGCAAACTGGTTGAAACTATAGTAAAGAACAAAATTGTCAGACACATAGATGAATATAATTTGTTGGGGAAGAATCAACATGGTTTTGTAAAGAGAAATCATGGCTCACCAATCTACTAGAATTCTTTCAGGGTGCTCAACAAGCATGTGGACAAGGGGGATCCAGTGGACATGGTGTACTTAGATTTTCAGAAAGCTTTTGACAAGGCTCCTCACCAAAGGCTCTTAAACAAAGTAAGCTATCATGGAATAAGAGGGAAGGCCCTCTCATGGATCGGTAACTGGTTAAAAGATAGGAAACAAAGGGTAGGAATAAATGGTCAGTTTTCAGAATTGAGAAAGATAAATAGTGATGTCCCCAGCAGTCTGTGCTGGGACCAGTCCTATTCAACATGTTCATAAATGATCTGGAAAAAAGGGATAAACAGTGAGGTGGCAAAATTTGCAGATGATACAAAATTACTCAAGATAGTTAAGTCCAAAGCAGACTGTGAAGAGCTACAAAAGGATCTCACAAAACTGGGTGACTGGGCAACAAAATGGCAGATGACATTCAATGTTGATACATGCAAAGTAATGCACATTGGAAAACATAATCCCAACTATACATATAAAGTGATGGGGTCTAAATTAGCTGTTGCCACTCAAAAAAAGATCTTAGCATCACTGTGGATAGTTCTATGAAAACATCCACTCAATGTGCAGCGGCAGTCAAAAAAGCAAACAGAATGTTGGGAATCATTAAGAAAGGGCTATATAATAAGACAGACAATATAATATTGCCTCTATATAAATCCATGGTATGCCTACATCTTGAATACTGCATGCAGATGTGGTTGCCCCATCTCAAAAAAGATATATTGGAATTGGAAAAGGTACAGAAACTGGCAACAAAAATGATTAGAGACTATGGAACACCTTCCGTATGAGGAGAGATTAATAAGACTGGGACTTTTCAGCTTGGAAAAGAGATGACTAAGTGGGGATATGATAGAGGTCTATAAAATCATGACTGGTGTGGAGAAAGTAAATAAAAAATATTATTTACTCCTTCTCATAACACAAGAACTAGAGGTCACCAAATTAAATTAATAGGCAGCAGGTTTAAAACAAACAAAAGGAAGTATTTTTTCACACAACGCACAGTCAAGTTGTGGAAATCCTTGCCAGAGGATGTTGTGAAGGCCAAGACCAAAGCAGGGTTCAAAAAAGAACTAGATAAGTTCATGGAGGATAGGTCCATCAATGGCTATTAGGCAAGATGGGCAGGCTGGGAATGGGCGACAGGGGATGGATGATTACCTGTTCTGTTCATTCACCCTGATCACCCTAGGGAAGAAGGAGCAGTGCAAGCTCAGATGAGAAATAATCACAGTAATAAAGATGTATATTCAGACATTGCAGAGGGCATGCAGCAAGTCATCGGGCATGACCCAGACAAGCAGCAAAGCCAGGTGAAGGGGAAGGAACACTGGCAGCCCTCTCAAAAAATAAGGGAGGCCAACATAAAATCTGGAGCTGCCCCCCAGGCCTGCTGCTTTTATGTTGTACTGGATGCCGTACTTAGTGAGGATCCCACGACCATCCTGCACGTGAGGCCCAGAGGAGGGAACCTGGCAGTAGTCACTGAATACCCAATAACACCTTTTTAGGAAGTAATCCTGCAAGTTGCTGAGCTTACCCAACTCTCACTGAACATGATGGCCCTTAATGCTTCACAGCAAGTACTTAGCATTTCACAGAATTGGGCCCTTAAATTGTATATCTGTAGTGTTAATTTCATAACATTGTATTGCAGCCATCAATGCCTCTTTGTCTTCACTGCAATAAAAGTTTATTTTTACATTATAATTATCTCAAAGTAAAATTTTAATGGGGACAAGACACAAGTAGTTTTCACCTCGATATAGCTAGTTGAAATCAACCCTGTTTCCTCTTCCTGGGGTTGACCTTGACCAGCTTGACATTAAAAACTGGAGTGCCACGTCTCCTCTAGGATTTTACACTGAGATAGTTATCTTGACGTAAAAACATCTTTTTTTGCCATGAAGACATAACTTATCTACATTACATATATTTCCTTATGGTCTACATTTAATTTGACCTTTTTGCTAAGGCTGCCAAAAAGGTTGTAAAAACGTTAGTACTATTTTGTACTCTGGGCACTTGTGCATCAGGAAATACACTGAGGGCCACCAATTCTTACTCTAAAGGCCTCTAAACCAGTGGTTCTCAACCAGGGATACGTGTACTCCTCGGTATGCAGAGATCTTCCAGGGGGTAACTCATCTAGCTATTTGCCTAGTTTTACAACAGGCTACATAAAAAGAACTAGTGAAGTCAGTACAAACTAAAATTTCATACAGATAATGACTTTATATTGCTCCATATACTATACATTGAAATATAAGTAAAATATTTATATGCCAATCAATTTATAATATGGTAAAAATGAGAAAGTAAGCAATTTTTCAATAATAATGTGCT